ATGAAGACAGCCAGTGAAGCGGCAGTCTCTGCATCAGTAGGCCTCAACATACACAAGGGGAAAACCAAGGCCCTCAAATACAACACGGAGAACAGCAATCCAATCACTCTTGATGGAGGAACTGTGGAAGATGTAGAATCCTTCACATACTTGGGAAGCATCATCGATGAACCAGGAGGATCAGATGCAGATGTAAAGTCGAGGATTGGCAAAGCAAGGGTCGCATTCCTACAATTAAAGAACATATGGAACTCAAAACAACTTTCTTTCAATATCAAAGTCATGTAGTGACTTGTTTTTATCACGAGAACACGATTGGTTTAATGAAAACAATTATTATTATAACCAATTGTACCAGTGACTGTTTAATGTGCTCTTTGTTTAACTGTGCTAAAAACATGCATTATTCTTACACTTTGATTGTGACCTCGCGCGAATTCGTTTACGCTCTGTAACCAAGCTTGTATCCTGGCACGATCTCGGTATTCTTTCGATACCACGAGATTGCCAGCAAATATATATCGAATTGGCCATTAACTGCCTTCTGATATTTCGCTTCCGGGGGATTTTATGGACATCCTGGCACGCGTTCCTTTGTGGTGGTGTTCATAGTCAATCTCGACTCGACTCCACGCTACAGTCACAATCTTCAATACGAACGTCAAGACAGTTCTACTGTATGGAGCTGAAACTTCAAGAACTACTACAACCATCATCGAGAAAGTACAAGTATTTATAAATAGTTGTCTACGCAAGATATTGATTGTCCGTTGACCGCATACCATCAGCGACAGTTTACTATGGAAGAGAACAAACAGATTCGGACTGAAGAGGAAATTAGGAAACAACGTTGGAAGTGGATAAGACATAGATTACGCAACTCACTAAACTGCATCACGAGACAAGCGCTAACTTGGAATCCTGAAGGGAAGCGGAAAAGACGAAGACCAAAGAACACATTACATCGGGAAAGAAAAGCAGATATGCAAAGGATGAATAACAACTGGAAACAGCTGAAAAGGATTGCCCGGGACAGTGTTGGATGGAGAATGCTGGTGAGCGGTCTATGCTTCTTCACGGTGGGTAACAGGCGTAAAAAAGTAAGTACAGAAGAACTCAGTGTCTAGACGTTCGTATTAAAGATTGTGACTTTGATACTGATTGACAGTTGTTTTGAGTTTCATATGCTCTTCAACTGTAAGAATGCTGTTCTTGCTTTGCCGAACCTTGCCTTCGCGTGTGCATCGGATGTAAATATGATCGATCCGGTTCTGTGTAGCGTGATTCGATGAGACCCATGTGTCATTGTTCATGTATTTGTGGAGGAATATTGTGCCACCTATAACCATTTTGTTGAATGCACATATATTCGCAAGTCTCTCTCCATTCTCATGAGTTTCTCTTAGTCAGTCCATGTCGTCCCATCATATCTTCATAACCGTTGTTGTGTATAACTACTCAAGATCAAGGTCTACAGGACAAGCTGTGAACTATATGTGGATAAATTCGAACACTTCGCTCCTACCTGAATTTTTTGCTGACGATTTTGTTCAGAAGAACGATGAAAGCTCCATGACCAAAGCATCCATCTCAGAGAACAAGATTCCACTAGTATATTCAGATTTTTAATATGGTACTGTAAATTTGGTTTTTCCAATAGTCAGGATAGACCCCTGTTTCTAAAGAAACTATCGATAGTTTTAGAATAAGTAATGGTGAAGTATACAATACTAACTGCATTTCATGCATCAGATAGAATCAGGATAGTACCTCGTGTATTTTTGCTTGAATTTAATAGCACAGTGAAAGATGACTCATATTTTATTACTAAGTAAAAAAACTGGGAATGTTTAGTTTTTTAAACGTTCAAAAGTGATTTAAAAAATACCTACCATGCAACCGAATTGTGAATATGATATGATACTTAAGTTAGATTACAAAAGATCTCTGCTCCTGATAATATCCTTCCACTCTAATTCCGAATTCTAAATCTCAATATTTAATGTTCTATGTTGCTGAAAAAGAAGTGATGAAGCATTATTGCGTCACAGCTGATGTCAGGTGGTGACAAAATCCTCACAGGTTTATAACCGTAACACACAACACTAACTCAAGTTCTTATATGCAAACTCAACCTTTTTCTTTTAAGATAAGACATAATTTAACATGCAACGGATTGATTATCATATCAAAACCGCGATTTCACTGTAGTTTTATTGTATTTGTTCTAAAGTTGCTAATTGTTCTATAACTAGATGTTGTTTTCTGATTGACTGATAAGTCACTCATGGTCGTCAGTTCGGCATAGTTTTACCGAAGTAATTGTAAATGTAATCATAGCTAATGTTGTATATTTTTAATTTTTGTTTTGTTTTGCTTTAAATATTCAGTTCCACATCTTCGTGATAGTAATGCTGATAATTACACTGTATTGCTAAATAAATGACCAGAATTTTATCTAATGTTCGTTTAATATTTATTCAGCTTTGATTCTACTATTTACAGGTGCCCCGTTATGTTATACTGATTAGTTACCACATGCCACATATGTTACATATACTATGATTAGAATATTCATACGAAAGCTTTGCGTAACTTTCACTATTCTAGAATTCTCCCATCGATATGACGATTTTGGCATTTTATTCATAGATATAAGGTAACAATCGAACCGACATTGAATATCTTAATTTGGGTCGGAACATGTTCAAATGCAAAGATCATAGGCCTCATTCATTTCAACTTGTTAAATTGGATTTAGCAATGATTTGCAACGAATTAAGTAAATTTGTCATAAAGCGAAAAGAAGGCACTAGTTTTTCTAATATTTACTATAATTTACGAAAGTGTGCTTGTAAAATCTTGGTAAACACCACTGAGTATTGCGATTTCCGCTTGACCTGGCCTGTTTATGAACAATTGAGATTTCATCTAATACGAACATGACGAGTTGGGATTCAAATAGTATGGATTTATGACACATAACAACACTTTAGCAATCATATTCAACATTCTATTATGAGTCAAAGTAGACGAAACTTTAGAGATAGCTTTATATGCAGTAGAGAAATCGCAAAGCAACAACTCTGTTTATAAATTAACATCCTATGATTTCGAATACCAAAAGATGGTTGTGTAGTGATGATTAAGCAGTTAGAGAACGATATGGTGGATGAAAACGATTTACAGGTCAGAAATATGAAAAATAATTTTCCACTTGACAGATGAGAAATGAAAAAACGTATAGGTCTTGATAATTGAATAATAATCATGAAAAACTGTAAGAAGACAATAATAACTAATGACGGATTAAAATTACAGAATCATGAAAACAAAACAAGACTAAGACATACTGGAGAAAGGAGTAAGGGGCGAGGAAAGATGGGAGGATAGACGCATCGTTTTTGCACGCAGAATTCGGGCTTGAAGTAGGGGAATCGCCAACTCCTCAACAGTGTGTAGTTTTTCAATTCACCATCCCTTTGATCAAATCCCATTGACTATACAGATTACTTTAAAGGGCAGAATTTTTTGAAGAAACGTGGCCAGAGTTGATAAAGTGCCCCGTACTGAGCTATAGAAAGCTTTCCACTTCCCTTTTAAGAGCTACGCCAAGTAATGCTCTGAGTCTCGACTTGTTATTTAAATTTATTCAGTTCGATATATCTACCGGTTGTTACTTAGCTTAAAGAAAATTTTTTCTCATTGATCATATCTTGATGCAAGTGTGTTAAATACGTCAGAAGTTGAGATTCATGAAATGCATTACTTATGTTATGATTAGTAATAGTATAGTTTTGTAAGCAAATCATTCGTGAATCGTGACTCAATAGCTCAGTTAGAATCCTCGGATGAGCTTGAACCTTGATACTAAATCTATATTAACGGGTAGATTGAATTGAGCTACAATATTATAAGACTATTGATTTAATTGTTTCATCCATCTTCTAATTTATTTGATTCAAATAAATGTTTTAAGATATTTATATGCAAACAGTTTGTTAGAAATGTACTCCATTAAAACATCACACAGTTCCGGTAAACTTCGTGTTCTGTGTCTTATAGCTGAATGATATATATTTCATAACTGTGCTAGTCCGCTTACACAGTGTTACAAAATCATTTAAGTACTATTGTGGTATGTGCTACTGATGTCAAAAGATATGAGTAGTATGTATCATTAATCGAAGTGAAATACTTGGCAACAGAAAGTTAAGAAGATTGGCGAAAAGTGAACGAGAATGGAGAATGATCGCAGTTTAAATGAAGGGACAGTGAAGTCTGAGATGATTGATTGACATTTTGCAAATGAAGTGTACATTGTATGGATCTTAAAATTTACTAAGTTGTTCTGTAATTTTGTGTTCAAATACATCTACCTGTCCCTACTTGTGTTCTCGTTCACTACACTATAAGCTTGTAAAATGCAACATAACCTAATTAAGTAATGTATTATGTTTAGCCCATATACCTTATTCTAGCTTTCGGACAGGCCAATCTACTCATTCTTGTTGAGCCATATTTTGACCTTGTTAATTATTCGCTTATCAACCTTGACTTTGCTTATATGAGCGTACGTGTGTGTACACTTCATATCCCATTACTCATCACATGTCTGTCATTGATTTTTGTGTGACTATAGATATTGATTAACGGTTGACTAACTGGGTGTTGGGTCACACGCCTTCTCCACTGCATGTCATTCCGCTCAACTCTTTTCTCTTCGTCTCGTTTCTCTGTTTTTAGTTTGTCTGGATGAACGATTATACAAAATATGTGTATTCACAAGTCCATTCTCGTTATTTATTTAATTCCGATATTGACTAATGCAATCTGAGTCAATTATTATATACGAGAATAGTCAGGATATATATTTCGACAGCAACACTTTCATACGATCTAATTGAAGTCAGTATTAGGGCCATTAAATCATCAATGCTTTTAATGTTACACGAACAAATTGAAATTGTTGTTAAATAATGAAATACAGTTTTAGAATTCTATTTATATTCATTGTTGATAAATGAAAAAGAAGTAAGTTTTGGAAATCCCATATCGATTGCATTTTGAATTGATCCAGTTTGAAAATCTAATTAACAGTATTGAAATGTTTTCAAGTTCTACCCAGATCATTTATTAATTGAAGGAGATAGACGCATCATAATGAAGAAAATATCAATGATAGAGAAATTTACATCCAATATGGTGTTAGGATTTCTGTTGACTACGTTAACTGGTTAATCTATTATTAATATGTGAGCATTCGACCATGTCGTTTCTAATACTGGAACTTATGACAATAATCGTATCATTCTGATCGTGTTATAATTACGAGATTTAAGTAGACAGTGATTAGTACCCACTGTAAACTGATATCAACCATCAGATCAGTGTAGACTGACAGATGTTTCAGTTTAATTATCAGTGAATGGAATCAGATTAGTAGAAGAAATAGGATAATGCACTTTCAAGTATTTAGCAATCAAACTGATCTGGAATACAGTTATCAATTACTTTATTGACGTATTCATAATTTGTCAATCAGCACAAAATATTATTGGGAGGATGAGGATTAATGTTAAGTAAACTGAAGTTGAGTGAAATATTTTCGTTCAAGGAGGTGGTCTTCACCAGATTAATCAATGTCTATTACTAGATCGAAAATAGAATGCATTCTAAAACATGCATATTTCATTCTAACTGGTCAATACACAACATGAAGAAGTCACGGTTTGATTTGCTACATGATTTGTTTAACAGTCCTGAAGTAACACTGAATGTATCTCTCCTTTGTTGTTCTCCGATTTGACTTGTTAGGGGACTCATGATAAACAACCTAATGATCATTCAGTTGAATAAACTAATATCTTTCAACTTGCTTCACACCACTCACTCCTCTCAATGAAAACTTGAACAAATCAATCTTATAACAAAATAATTGTATTCATTTAAGCAGAATAGTTAAGCGAACGTATCTTATTACTACATTTTGTTAGGAGATTAATGAAATGGAGTATAGGTTAAACACAGAGGGAGAGAGAGAGAGAGGAGATAAGGAGATAAAATAAGTGTGAATAATAATATTTTCATTTGTTAATACAATTCTTGTTAAAGGAGGAAATGGCTTTTGTTAGATGTGAATCGAAACATGTCAAGAAATATATTTTGTGAAGCCGGAAATCATTGACGTCTACAGAATAACTTCGTAATTGTTTGACGACTTTAATCCTATAAATACCCCCTGGTAAGCCTCAGTAAGAGCCGACGATAATTACTTGGTGTTGCATTCCATAAAGTTTGATCAATAAATACATTTGAAATTCCCCAACTATTATACTAAAATAAAATACATTTGAGAAATAAAATTTGTAAAATTATTTCCTTTGATCACGTTTGATCACTTGATGAGAACTTTATGAGGTTCAATTAATTTCTACTGATTCTGTTGCAGCGAATCAATTCATTTCTAGATTCACAATGAATCTACATTGACGATTCAACGTCGTTTCACAATGTTATGCGTCGATATAATGCACTGTATGTCGTAGATATGTGTATTTCTCTCAGTTTTAGAGTTCGTACGTCACAGGATCGATGTTGTTCAGTGCACTACTGATCACATGATTTCACTGAGATTTTTATTTGAATAAATGGGAAAGTAGTCAACTCTGATCGGTTTAAATCTCAGACGCGGTTTGCATCACGACGAGCACGTATTCCAAGTCCATACTACACCATTTCTTACTAGTGATGGTTTATCAAACGCTTACTTACCACACTCAAGTGTTTTAAGCACTTGAAGAGTGCATCGTGTTCACGATCACCTGTCAGAGGTGTAACATTTGATATGAGTTCGTGCATTGAACTTGAAATACCAGTTCAGCATGTTAACGCTGATTGGTTCAGTCATGGTTACTGATGCAACACACCCTGATCAAGCTAATCAATTTCTATTTAACACTGATTAAATGTATTTACCATTGTAAAACTCTTGACACAACTTGTTTTAAGAAAAACTCGACTAAGTGAGAATTGTCATTGTTTTCGGAAGCATTTTGAAATTTGGTGAAACAATAGACTATGAGACTGCAAATGGGATGCATGCATCATTAGACATGAACGTAGAAGTTTGTCCAGAAGCATTTGGTTGAAGCAATAATACTCAGTAATATTCAGCATTATTGTTCACACAGATTAACACAGAGAAATAATTTTCCATCTAAAGTAAATAAGTTTACCGTGGAATGTAAATCATTCATTATATTTGGCTTGTGAAGATAGTTGAACTCGATCAAAATCACGAATTGATACATTTCAGACAACTAATGAGTATTTGACAGCACTGGACTGTTATTTCGTCGAACTATGGAACTCTTCAATGAGAATGCCTAATTATTGAGTTTTCTTTGTTTCTGTTTTGTTGTTGGTACTCATGTAAGACAGTTGAAGATTTCCTTAAAAGTTTGTAGATTGATTGAAATGAGACTTGTATTTCCTCGGATCCGGTCACATACGTCTAGATTTTAAAGGTTTATGCGTGATATCGAAATATCTGTATTCGACTATCGACTCTTGGATTCATACCGATGAGGAGTCAGTTCTATAATTGGACAGAATGATAATCTATTGCTCTTAGTTTTCCAAGAGTTGCCTTATTTCAGTCCATTCATGATTTAAATGAAATATATCAATGTTGAACATGCAGTAAAGTGACATAAATTAGAATAAATTATCATCCAATAAATATTATTCACACTTACATCTATGCAATCAACCAAAGTTTTTCGTGTTGTTTTATAAAACTCTTTCATGATATTTTTCAAATCAATTTCACAACGACTGACAATAATACGTATAAGTGCTTTATCAGCTGTTTCAGCACATTGCATGGCTTTTAATAATTTTTCTGCAAAATATCGTGGTTTATTTTGTATACAACGAACTGAAATCCAATTCAATGAATGTGATTGAAATAAATAAAATAGAGAAAATTTAATGGTCATTATTATTAATATATATATATATATATATATATATATATATATATATATATATATATATATATATATATATATATATATATATATATATATATATATATATATATAGCTCATATACACAGTGCCTTCTCGCGACGGGGATGTTGTTTACGAAATTGATGGAATGAAAAGTGAATGTTGGGCCCTTCGACCGGGTTGGTGAACACGGAGAGTTTACCTAGGAGAGTTGAAACACCATGATTCCAAACCAATTGTGCACATGGGCTCCAAGATCCTCAAGGGAAAAATGGCGTATGAAGATATCGTTCGTCACCGTCTGCCATAGGACTGCATCTCCATACGTTGCTCCACTGTCTTGTGGATTAGACCTTCAGGTCAAAGTCTCGGGATGTGGCCCCATAAGAAAACCATGTGCTGCGGTTTGGGCACACGGGCAGTATTCCAGCCCTTGTACAAATCGAATGATTTATGTAGCGCATATCCCTTTGGTGGTGCTTCCTTATAACAATGTTTATGTGTTTAAATAAATAAATAAATAATAGTTTACTGATCGATAATGTACGTGTCTATTCACAGCAAATCTCAATTCAAGTTACTACAAGAATTAATTAATCCTATTGCATCACAAATTCTGTTTTCGAGTCAATAAGCGTGAATCATTCAACTATTTACTCATTTGAATTTGAATTTATATAAACATTATATAAACATATACAAACGTTATTGTAGTGTATAGCAAAGTAAAGTAAAGATTTATGTACTGGAGAGTATCCTCATTGTAGGATAGGAAATTGGTGACTCAACAAAACTAAGTCAATTACCTAGTTATGATGCTATGAATAGACAAATTAAATAGAGTGATAAGATAGTCGGGGATAGTCTACTAAGTAATCTGGATCTAGATTTCATTGTCACCATAGATTGTTTGGAAGGCGTACCTGAGATCTTGAGGGGACCTCAAACCATGGGGGATTCGAACCCGTCTCTGAGGCGTTACCAACGCGTTATTTGGGTCGCGGCTAATACAATCACAGCAATTAATAACTGAATGATGGACAGTATCATTTTATCCAGCTCTTATTGCTGATTGCTAGCCTTGCTGATGAGTGAGTATCAACTAGCACGAAACCTAGTCCCAGGGTTCCACACTGACTACGCAGTGCATACACTCTTTGAGTTACTTGAACTAATACGAATAATAAAATTTCTCAACCGATAAAACTTGGGAGACAATAACGACCAAACTAACATGACACTGGACAGCAAACTCTGACCAATCAATACAGGGATTATAGTTGTTCACTACAAATCAGATATTAATTGGAATAATACAACTACTATTTAATTCCCAAGTGATTACATAATGCATTAACTAATCCCAAATTAAATTAACTCAAGTCATAATTATTAATCGGACACGCAATTTCTCGAAAAAATTGTTTAACATTACTTACCCATAGAAAGTAGAGCACTGAGTGTATTTCCACGCATTCTGAGCTTTAAAGTATCTTCCATAGTATGCTTACTAATTCGTATATATTCATTGAATACAACTCGTAAGTGAGCATAAGATCTTGAAGCCAATATAAGAATGAATCTAATATGTATAGGTATATTTAAAGAAAAAAGAAGGATTATGTCTAACAGTTTGCTGAAAGACTGCGCTGTATGTTGCATCAAACTGATTCTTATTTGTTGCACCATTGCATTCACTTAGTCAGATAATTTTTAACAGATGTCATTTTCAGATAATGGGACAGATATGTTGATAAAAAGTATGTAATATGACCAACCTATATTACACTTTATGGTACTGAGTTCTAACCTTCTACCTGCTATTTCAGATGGTTTTGATCCAATCAAACACATTTCAATCATTCATGAAGTTTGTTCTCCAATATTCAATCATTTTGTTCAAATTCACACCAATTACTCTAGAATCACAGATAATATTCGACAGTGATAATGGTTTGAAACGTTTTTAATTAAACAACGTCATAGTCACTTAAAACAGAATTCGATTTACAATTGTGACAAATTCGAATACAAGGATGGATTCGGTAATAAAATTTATATTTTTCAGCGACTTCGTTGGGTAAATTTAAACATATCTTGCTCACTTGTTGTCATCTTAATGTACTCAGCATAAGAGATATTAAAGTGAAGATGTTTAGTAATCCATCGTAACAATAAGGGTAAGTTATTTTCAGAGTTAGGTGACTAGAGGTCTTCTTTGTTAGGAGAGTACATGATATGATTTAACATAAATATAAACAATATAAAACCTTGGCTTGATTACGTACAGATCTAAATTGTTCCATTTCATGCTGGAATACTTGCTTACCTACTTACGCCTGTTACTCCCAATGGAGCATATGCCATCAACCAGCATTCTCCAAACCACACTGTACTGGGCCTTCCTTCCTAGTTCTATCCAATTCTTGTTCATTCTTACCATGTCTGTCTCCATTTCTCGGTGCAAAGTGTTCTTTGGTCTTCCTCTTCTCCTTTAGCCCAGAGGATTAAATGTAAGGTCTTGCGTTGTGACACAGTTCGGTGCTTTCCTCAATTTGTGTCCCATCCACTTCCAGTACTTCTTCCGGATTTCTTCCTCCATTGAGATCTGGTTTGTTCTCTCACACAGTAGGTTGTTGCTGATAGTGTCTGGCCAACGGATCCGAATTATTTTGCGTAGATAACTGTTAATAAACACCTGTATCATGTGGATGATGGCTTTCGCAGTTCTTTGAGTTTCCGCTCAATACAGTGGAACTGTCTTGACATTTGTATTGAAAATTCTGACCTTGGTGTTGGTTGACATTTGCTTTGAGTTCTAGATGTTCTTCAGTTGTAAATATGCTACTCTTGCTTTTCCGATCCGCTTCAGGAGGAGTTTCATATTGGAATAGTTAGAGAAAACGAAATCACTGATACCATTTGTAAAAAGAGATAATGTTTCTATTTGCACGATTATTAATAACTTTAAATCACATCATGATGATTACATTTGAGCTCTATTAGTCTTCCTCTTTAAACTATCACCATGCCAATTTAAAGATCTGTTTATTTTATAGTTGGATCATGTGTAACACAAGTTCCAAATATGTCAATCAATGCATGTTCACAACTTCATTAATCAGCTTATCATCTTTGATTGAAACTCTTTACCTACCGTTAGCATCATTCAGTGAATGAAGCATTTATAGTCAAATACATAGTCCAATAGCAAATTAGTACTTCATAGTTGAATCCTCTCTCAATATATAATCTCTTATAAAACTGTAAATATTCTGTTTTGAAGTCAAAATCCAATTAATTAATTAACAGCTATGTAAGATTTTCATAAACCAACTAGTATATGTTGAATAAACAACACACTTACTTTGATTCATCTATTCTAATGTTTTGTTGTATTATATTAAATAATTCTTCCACATCTCTTTGTACAAGATTTCTATCTACAAATGTAAATTCATCTCTATCCGCCTTTAATAGAGTCATGAATATGCGTTTGAATTGATAAGTAATCTGATTGTTTACATCATTCACCAAATCACATCCATCGAATACTGAAATTTTAATGAATAAACATTTATTTATTTATTTATATCGGAAGGATTGTTGTGAATATTATAGTAATTTTAATAGTTGAGATCATGAGTCAATTGAAGCTAGACCACCATGGAAAACCTGGAAGCACTGCACAGCCGTGTCGATCAATTTTCTGGATGAGTTGAAATTAGACATTAACATCGTTTAGCCCAGGCCAGTTCAGCGGTCTAGAGGTTAGGGGTTCGTGCGCGATACTGATAGGTTGCGGGTTCGAGTCTCGCTAGGTAGGATCGTAGATGCGCACGGCATAACAGTTTATCGTGAAGTTCTTACAAATTTCAAACAGTTGAAATGAATCACAGTGAATCTTCCTCATAATTACTCACCATATTCAGTAATTGATGACAATCTTAATTTTGAGAATAAATACAAAATATATTTGATGATTTTATAAACTAATAACTTACATTTTGGATAAACATCCTTAATTCTTTTGATTTGTTCATTTGTTCTTGTACAAAGAATTTCAATTATTGTATCTTCATCAGTATCAGTTCCTCTCATTGCTCTATGAAGTTCTATTGCATCAAATTCTGCTGGTGTATAGCACAACGCAATCAAACAATCTTTTAAACATCCAGTTAATTTAGAATTAAATATGGCGAATAAATTGTCCTTATACAGAGATTTATATTTTTGTAGAATTGCTATACGTTGAACAACAGATCGACGACCCATTACTTCAACGATTTCTTTTTCTCTTATCTTTAATCTATTCAGAGCACTCATTAAACGCCCACAGTCATGTTCAACACAGAAATTTTCTTTAGGTGTTAATGTTGGTTTCATCTAACATTAGAAGAATGGATATTTACAAGTAAGTAAATTGTAGAATCTAGTTAAAAGGCAGAATAATAAATAAGAACTTTTGTCTAAATTTGAACCAATAGTTTCACAATATTTGTTCGCCGAGTTAATGTGAGTCATTAAAGAGGAATAATATATATTTGTAAAATCTCAGCGGAAGAATTTGAATTAAATCCAACGTTTCGCCTGGCAATCTGGTCCAATCTTTTTCAAGGAAATAGGTTTTGTGGTTTAATTTATAATTTGTATTTGTCGAGCTACCATTGAAAACCTGGAGAACAGAAGGTTCGTACAGTTCAGGAATCCCAAATTAGGATGCTCTTTTTTCAGTGGTATCCCAACCGAGATCAACATTGATGAATACAACCTAAAGAGTATCGATTCGTTCCACTAAATTTTTTTACATTTGCATGTATTGTTTATTTAATATTTGTTACTCACTTGAGTTAATGACCAACAAATTTCAATGAAGCAGATATAAAGTAGACGCAATGACAACAATAGCATATGGATATGATAATCTATTTTTTTTAACCTTGGATTTTACAAGATTTGTCAGTGAATGTACCATGTTTAATATACTCAAACGATCTTGGGATTTAGAATCGTTTGCTTTTCCTTTTGTTCCTCACATGTACAGTATACACATGTGAGTATAAACTCAAATTGAACACACTGGTCAAGTGGAACTGAATAAAATAATCATCTCAAAAACTCTTGTTCACATAATAATAATCTGCTACAGACCTTCTCTCACTTCTAAGATGTGCAAATGGTAATGATTTTAAAATACAGAAAAAGTGACGAGATGGATAGATAGTATGAAGAAATGTGTCTTTTAATGTTACTTCCATGTTAACAACTACACAACTACATAACAGTTGAGGTAAACTTTTGACAATCATATAATACAAACAATCTTATTCACATTCACAATAAATAACCCAACAATATAAATTAGTGATAATTTCGATAGCCTACAATATCCAATCTAGATAATTCAGGTGATCTCAGTCGACTGATCATAATTAGAATTGGTGTTTGTACTAACCGATGATTCATTTGTACTTGATTGCGCGCTCGTTACGAATTACTAATGTAATACATCCAGTTATGCTCATCTGGTTCCACCTGTCTTAAATTGCACTATTTCGCGAGTTCCTAGTTAGCAAACCAATTTGAATGCTTCTAATTATCTATCACATTAGAACAGCCGTGATTAATATCGCATTATGTGATAAAAATAAATTCGAAACTACTCTGTAAACACATGTGACGACTATCTGACAACTCAGCATTACTCAACAGCAGTCTAGTATGTTTGTAACGACATGCCTATATTGAAGAATTTATACAAAATTAATAAATAGACTGAAATACCTACCAACATTTGTCTGAGTTATGATAATTTACTGCTTTGATTGAAGAAAAAACATGCCGAATTCTTCAAACTGCATCAACTAAGAAATGAAAAATCGACTGGAAATATGTCCAGGTATTATGGGAGCTTTGTGTTGTACATTATGTCTGTTCTTAAAAATATCTCCCACAATGATGTTCGTATTTCCAGATTATCTAAGTCGACCAATTGCTCACTCGACCAATCCACTCACTTAAATAAAATCTCAACAAATTAAAAGATATGGGAAAGAAGGCCATGAAATTCATGAAATCCACCAACGTTCACAAATCGATAGGCCACGAAGTCATGAAGAGGAAAGTAGTGGAAATATTTGTAACCTATACACCACATTAGTAAACAATAACAATATTAATAATGGCAACATACTATATCTTCGTGTGGAGCTGATTCAGCAAACCCATAAACTCTGGAAGAGACAGAAAATTCATTCGACTGAGATGAAATCGGAGTAGGGAAATCGTTAAACATCGGATATACAGATCCTTGATTCGTGTTCACTGGGTGGCTACCAAATGAACTTCCACCTGATGGTGGTATAGTTGGGCAATAATTTGTGTGGAGATTTTGTGAATTGGGATTCCCAGAAATATAAGGACTTTGCATTTGACGTGCATAATCGATATTGAATGAGGTTGTACCTGGTAGATATGATGTAGCAGATGGATTATTGCCATAAGAAGGATTTGTATAACCTTGTTGGCTTGAATATGGACCAGCTGAATTGTTCAGACTGTGGTCGGAGAAACTATCTTGTGCACTGACCGGTATCTGTTTAAAATTTGTTTCTGATTGTCCAGGATACTCACTCATTTTAGATCCCATTTTTTCTTCTGTACATCTGTCTGTGCTTGAATCCACTGAGCTTCCTGATGATGAATTAGGAGATGGTATTTCCGGACATCTCTTAGAAGTCATTGTCGGATGTCTTGTATGAGGATGTTGAGAATCGTTCCACTCAGAGCGATTAAAAGCATCCAAATCCATTTGTCAAGCTGACTCAATTCAACAGACGATAGATTGATTTTTTTGTTAAGGTCACTAATATATTGAATTAGTTGGTTAAGATGAACATGTAACTGTAGGAGGATTGGTTAAACTAACCACATAAATATCAAACGACCTTCATAGTGTCAGAAGATTTTCATAGTCAAAACAAAACAAAACAAATATTTTAACGCATTTTTGTGTTAGTATCGTTCGGTATTGTAACTTTTGGACTATTCCAATAGGTTTATGAAAGTTTAAAAGTCTATCTAGTGAATAATAAGTTTATCAATGATTAACGAGGTTTGCTAACTCATTTGTGAATTGGACAATCGTTTCTAAATTTTATCAATGGCATGAAGATACGTATGTATATGACATGGTTTATAGTTCTATTGTCAATTACCAAAACTTTTATTTATTTTACAAAATATAACGTTTATAAGTGATAAGACAATTATATTTTTCAAATGAAAATGATACTATTCAAATATCTAAGCTAAATATGTAGTCTAATGTAATACTTATTTGTAGTCTTGAGAGAACTGATGCTTCCTATAGGATTCGAACTAGCATTATCCAGCTTCACAGTATTTGACATGACTTCAAATCTTCACGAGGCATTGTTAAACAATTTAATAATCACTAGTAAAATTTCTCTCAAAACTTCACGAGGCATTATACATTTTAGCCCCAAATCACTTCACAAAATCTGTTAGGGATCCAAAATTTTTATAATAACTTGGTAATCTTAAGCTCAGAATAACAATAAAAACCCTAATATTATTTATTCATGACATGACTTACTTACTTAATTACTTACGCCTGTTACTCCCAATGGAGCATATGCCATCAACCAGCATTCTCCAACCCACACTGTACTGGGCCTTCCTTCCTAGTTCTATCCAATTCTTGTTCATTCTTACCATGTCTGTCTCCATTTCTCGGTGCAAAGTGTTCTTTGGTCTTCCTCTTCTCCTTTAGCCCAGAGGATTAAATGTAAGGTCTTGCGTCGTGACACAGTTCGGTGCTTTCCTCAATTTGTGTCCTATCCACTTCCAGTACTTCTTCCTGATTTCTTCCTCCATTGAGATCTGGTTTGTTCTCTCACACAGTAGGTTGTTGCTGATAGTGTCTGGCCAACGGATCCGAATTATTTTGCGTAGATAACTGTTAATAAACACCTGTATCATGTGGATGATGGCTTTCGCAGTTCTTTGAGTTTCCGCTCAATACAGTGGAACTGTTTTAATATTTGTATTGAAAATTCTGACCTTGGTGTTAGTTGACAGTTGCTTTGGATTCCAGACGTCATTCAGTTGTAAATATGCTGCTCTTGCTTTGCCGATCCGCGCCTTCACATGGGCATCATATCCACCGTGTTCATCAATGATGCCACCCAAATATGTAAAGGCTTTTTCATCTTCTGAATCTTCGCCGTTAATTTGGATTCGATTGTTGCATGCTGTGTTGTATCGGATAATCTTTCTTTTTGCTGAGTCGGCTTTCGGAGAACTTCAACGGAGCCTGAAGAGGCCCAAAAGGAGCCGAAGAGTCCTAGCTAATCAGAGCATGATGGAGCTTTCCAGAATTCCAACGTGGCGTGTTACTAATAATCAGTAGCATAATATGTCGTTAACAAATTGGCCGAAATGTGATGTTGATTTAACAAATGTTAACATCTATAAATACCCATGATTTTCTGTACAAAAGTGAACCTTGGAGTAAAGCATTTCTCCCATACTTTGTGTCTTCTCTCTAGTGTTCAGGTCGCTGTGTAGTTCTAGCTTGCGGGTTACCAGAATAGCTTAGGAAACAAATATATTGTTCAATCGACAAGACTTATCACTTTTCCTTTTGTGTATATTGAGACTTACTGCTTCTGAGGCTGCTGCTATACTGGTCGTCTTCTCCTTCATTTGTTGTTGCGTTTGCGATAGGAGGGCCAGATCATCTGCGAAGTCTAGATCGTCCAACTGCATCCTTGATGTCTACTGTGTCCTGTGCTTCCTTTCAGATGTTGACGACTTCATGATCCAGTCGGTCACCAGGAGAAAGAGAAAGGGTGAGAGTAAGCAACCTTGCCTGACACCGGTCTTTACTTCGAACGACTTTGTCAACTCTCCTCCATGCACGATCTTGCAGTTCAATCCATCATAGGAATTCTCTATGATAGTGTCGAAGAAGCTTCCATAGTGTTGTTCTGTCCACGCTATCAAATGCTTTCTTGTAGTCAATGAAGTTGATGTAGAGTGATGAATTCCATTCAATTGATTGTTCCACAATGATCCGTAGAGTTGCGATTAGGGCTGTACACGACCAACCTTAACGGAATCCAGCCTGTTGGTCTCGAAGTTGGGCGTCTACGCAGTCCTTCATCCTGTTTAACAATACCCTGTTGAAAACTTTTCCCGGTATTGAGAGAAGAGTGATGCGCCTGTAGTTACCACAGTTGCTGAGATCGCCTTTCCTCGGTATTTTGATCAGAAGTCCTTCTTCCCAGTATGTTGGTACTTGTTCCTCATCCTAAATCTTATTGAAGAGAATGTGGGGTATCCTTGCAGTTACCGCTACGTCTGCTTTTAGTGCCTCTGCTGGGATGTTGTCCGGTCCTGCTGCTTTGCCACTCTTGATTTGTTTGATGGCCATGCTGATTTCTTCAATTGTTTGTGGGCCAACATCGATTGGGAGGTCCGTGGGTGCTGCTTCGATATTGGGTGGGTTCAGTGGAGCTGGTCGATTCAAGAGTTCTTTGAAGTGTTCTACACACCTGTTTTGTTGCTCTTCAATGTTGGTGATTACCTCGCCTTCCTTCCTTTTCACTGGTCGTTCTGCTTTCCGGCGACTTCCAGCGAGTTTCTTTGTTATGTCATACAGTTCTCTCATGTTTCCTTCTCTTGCAGCCTTTTCCACCGTCATTGCTAAATCTTCCACATATTTACGTTTGTCGGTTCTGATGCTCCTCTTCACTTGTTTGTTTACTTCTGTGTATTCAGCTTGTGCCTTGACTTTCTCTGTTCTTGTTCGGCCGGTATTGATTGCTTCTCTCCTGTTCCTCCTTTCTTGAATCTTATCTAGTGTATCAAGAGTGATCGATTCCTTGTGATGGTGCTTCTTGTGGCTCAGAACCTCATGATATGTTGAAGTGATTGCCTCTTTGATCCTTTTCCAGTTGCTCTCCACAGTAGTTCCTTCTCTATTGAGTAGATCATGAAAGGTCTGGAACTTGTTGCTGAGGTCTATCTTAAATTTGTTGAGTTTGTTAGTGACCTGAAGAAAGGCCGTATTGAACTTTTGTGATATTGTCCGTCCCGTTTTCCAGTACTTCCTGAGTTTTAATTTCATCTTGGCGACCAGCAAGTGATGATCCGATGCTATATCAGCTACTCTCTTGATTCTCACGTCTTCCATTGTCCTCCTGAACATTTTGTTGATGCAGATATGGTCGATTTGGTTCTGCGTAGTGTGATCCGGTGAAGTCCATGTGATTTTGTGAATGCGTTTATGTGAGAATATGGTGCCGCCTATGACCAGTTTATTGAAGGCAGATAGGTTTGCAAATCTCTTACCACTTTACTTCCTTTCTCCCATTCGGTGTCGTCCCATGATTTCTTCATATCCAGTGTTGTCCATTCCAACCTTGGCATTGAAATCTCCCATCAGAATGGTCAGGTCCTTCGTTGGGCACTTCTCGACGATTGACTGCAGCCTATCGTAGAATTGATCTTTAGCGTTTTCATTGTAGTCGTTTTTAGGCGCATAGCATTGGATGACGTTCATTGAAATGCCTTCTTTCTTTGTTTTGAAGGAAGCTTTGATGATCCTTGGTTCATGAGATTCCCATCCTACGAGTGCATTTTGTGCTTGTTTGGACAGCATCAATTCAACTCCTTGTGTAGAGTACAATATCATGTATTGCTTTTAAAATCAGAGGAATAGTGATGGTAAATGTAAACTTATGTTTGTATCATTCCAAAAAGTTGAAATTTGAATAATCCCGACCATTCACCTTGCAGTCTGATCAGAGCTTCGTAAATATTATGTTAATTCGAAGTAAAAAGTATTTCCTTTCACCGAGTATTCAATTTCATCATTATTGTCTATCTGAAGTTGATAAATGATTGAGAAGAACTGAGATTTAAGCATTCACTTTACTCTACATTAAAAATTGTGTAAGAATCATCTATAGTTAAACTGTTATACATAACATTTAAGGTTCCAAAGGCCTGTCATATCAATTGTGCATAACTTTTAAGATGATTAGATAATTATAATGCAAGATATTGGATACAAAATGCATGTTTACAAGTTGTAGTGTGATGAGTTCTACTGATGTCGACAGATATAAGTAGTATGTATCATCAATCGAAAGTGAAATGTCTGGTGGTAGAAGGTTAAGAAGATCGAAGAGAAGAGAAAGAGAATATGAAGTGTTTGGTGTGGAAACAAAGGAACAATCAAGTCTGAGACAATTGACGGGTATTTTGCAGATGAACAATTTACTGTATGGTTCTCAGATTTTGATAAGAGATTCTGTAATTTTGTATTGAAATATATTTGGTTGTCCTCGCTCGTGTTCCCGTTCACTACAGTAGTACTTCAGAATGTTCACCATGATACGAAATGTAGGGAAAGGAAACTCAAGAAAATACAATATGAATAAGTCATTCAAGACTGTTGTGTTCTCAGACTGGCGGTCAGAATCACATTCAAAGCTACCAAAGAGAATCTTGATTCTAATTGGGTCTATTTGGCATCTGTTACTTATCCTATAGCTTAGCGTCTCTTACGTGGTCAGTTAGACGTTCGACCAACACTATTAACCTTGAGTCAACAGCTATGCTTCTAGTTGTCCACCATTCGCAAGCTTTCCACCATTTAGAATAAATTTTTGGAATTTCTAAATCTCTGTCGGCCATTTAATATATTTAGTAGAACTCAATACAATGTCATTGATGTTAAGATTTTTAATGATACGTACTCTCCTAATATTAGTATTC